CAAAATGCATATATGCATGAAAAGTGCATGATGGGCATCAGAGGCGAACACCTTAGCCAGTAAGGCTTACGCTTAGCAAGTGTTTTGCACAAAAAATCACACCTTGGTGCATTTTTGGTACGATTCGCCTTGATGCGCGCCTCAAGAACACCTTTGAAAACACTGGATTTATTAATAAAAATGTATATTTGTTGTGTCAAGCTCAACACCCCATCCCTTATTTTCTCCTTAACTTTCAAGTTAAGTAGGGATGGATTTTAGCTTGAATACAAGACACTTGGCAAGATCTAAGGCACCCCTTGTGATTTTATTGATTTGTTTCAGATTGTACCACTTTCTATATTAATGGGGATAGCTCTTAAAAGCTTGGGGAGAGACACATTGTGAGGTATTAAGGGCAGTTGTCTCAGGTTGTGTGTGATTGTTCATAGAGGAAATCCACGAGAGAACGTGGGAAATGGGGCTAATAGTGGCAAGGAAAGCGTGGGACACATGGCCTCATCTTGTTCAGAAGATAGGCACATTTAGGATTGGAAACTGTCAGCACATTCAAAGGCTTTTCATGAAAATGGGCAGAATTTTAAGTGAGTGGGTGGTTGTTCATAGAGGCATACATATCACCAAAAAATGCAGGCCATCAGTCTGGAAGTGGTGTGCCAACATGGAACACATGTCGCTTTACAAAGTACAGTGCATAAATTTGTCCAGATTTGAAACTGTTGCCCCAGCCGCTATATAAGTGTGAATTGAAGGTGTAATAAAGGGTCCAACACTACAATCAACAAAACTAGTCTTCTCATTTTTAGTTTAGCTTTGACCCAGCGCCTTTATCCTTCATGTTGTTTCACTAGCTTAGAAATCTTTATATTACTAACACTTCTAGTACATTTGAGACCTGTAATTGTTTCTATTTCTTCAATAGTAATGTTTACTGTGGTTGTTTCATTTATTGTTTGATGCTCGATGAGCTAATGGGCAGTCGTGGTTTCTCATTGGCTCATCGTGATTTCTTCTGTTAATAAGTTGTCCTTTGAGATGGATGGAGGTCAATATACTCAAATGGGAAGGGGGTTGGGTTGTTTTTTATGAGTGTGTGGTGGTGGTTGTTGGAAGGAGTTTTTACATCATTGTATGGTTAGGGTAGGGAGCTTGAGGGTTTTGGCACAATGGGTTAGAGAGTCTGGTGGTTGGAAGTGTTCTGCATTGGAAAAGTTATTTATGAAGAAGTAGGAGAATAAGATTTTGGCAGGGCTCAATGTGGGAATAGATTTTGCGATCTTCTAGATGAAGAGCATACTAGGATAGTTTTGGTGTTCGGAGGGTTGTCGGCATCAAAAATAGATGGTGGAAGGATGGAGGTGCATGAGCCTCTCACGAAGAGATTGTGGATTGGGTAATAAGGGGTTTCCCTGGATTAGGAAAGGTGGAAAACTGAACTTCAAAGGGTTTGAAATTGTAGAAAGGTATTGACACCTGTGATCAGGAGTTTGCTAGAGAGTGGCAAAACACTCAATGGAGAAGCAATGGAGAGCCTTGTGATTAGAAACCTTTAAAAGAGAATGAGTATTCCAAGTTTGATCAAGTCTAATTTAGGAGTACTTTTAACAAACTTTTCAGATATACTGAAATTCCAGAGTAACCATTCTATTAGGATTCACCTCAATCCTCGAGACTCTGTACATGAGCTAGTGATGCGGTCTCTCTCTTGGTGGACTGGCCAAAGGTAGCTCATTGTGCCACGGCAGAACTTTCATCTCTAGCTACCAAGCCACAACCCCAATGTCCCATGGTGCATGCCGAAGACTTCAACGTACTTAGACCTTGCCTCTTGGCCGAGGTAATGAGTGGTGCATTACAACACCCGCAGTAATGAGACATGCAGTTTGACCACCATGGGACCACTAGGAGATATGTGGTTTGACAACTGTAATAAAGGGTCGCATGGTAAGAACACCATGGTGATCAGAAATGCGGTAAGAACACTGCAATCATGAGATGGCTTGTAACTCTGGACTCTTGTTGGATGTCAAATAAGCAAGCTTCATAATGATGGAGTTTAGGACCGAGGCATCCAACGTGCCAGCGTGACTGAACATGCAGACCATACATGTGTCTTTATAAGGTAACACATGTACCTCCATATACCGACATGCATAGTTGTTAAATCGGGATTCGTATCGTGAATCGAAATGACCTCGTACCGAATCGCGAATCGAATCGAATCGTGAATCGTAAAGATTCGGTCATTTTTTCTAAATTACTTAAAACATATATCTACATATTTAGATGTTAAATATATCTTATGAATATAAAATATTTAGACTTAAATTTATGAAAATATTATTTTGAATGATAATCACGTAGTTTAATAGGTAAGAAGGTAACAAAGGTTCCTATGTAAGATTACCATCTTACCTTTTATTCTTTTTTAGATATGTCTTATCAACCATTCTTAATAAAAAAATAATAACCAAATAGACAAACTATCAATTTCTAAAGTAATAATAATTAATGATATTGATATTTGGACGATAAGTATACATACTTTTTTAAGTAACAGTGAGCAAATAATAAGAAAGAATTATTTAGAATCTTTTATTTTAAAACCTAAAACATTTTAAAAGATATAACTGATCTCAGCAATAGATAATTCATAGTTTAACTTTAATTTTAAACATCATTAGAAGATATATTATGATTTTTTAAAGAAAAAAAAAATGAGAAGAAAGGTTAAAAATATGTTGGGTCTGATTAAATCTGATTGGATCCTATTAAAAACTCTATAATTAATAAAATAACAACAAATCATGTATATACGTTAGTTATTTTGGTATTAAACACTACTAGAAGTTGTATTATGTAATTTTCACTAAAAAGATGGACAAAAAAAGAGACGAAATATGTCGGACACAATAATTTCAAAAATTGCATGAATCGTAAAAAGTGAATCGAATCGTGAATCGATTGTGAATCGTACGATTTACTAGAGATTCACTTCCAAAATAGATTCACCCATAGATTCGTATCGATTTTATAAAAATTGTGAATCGAATCGTGAATCGAATCGCGAATCGTAAGATTCTGATAACAGAGCCGAGAGATTCACTTCCAAAATAGATTCACCCATAGATTCGTATCGATTTTACAAAAATTGTGAATCGAATCATGAATCGAATCGCGAATCGCGAATCGTAAGATTCTGATAACAGAGCAAGCAACCAACATAAACCTTCAAAAAAGAGTGCAACAATTACAGATCTACATCAGCACTAAGCTTTGACTTTACAATCTACCATAAGAGGTAAATTTTGGATCTAACAAATAACATATGTTATTTGTCAAATTGAGCCAAACGAAGAACAGCCTGCAATCTGTAATCATTTCAAAATAAGCAGTTTTTCTTCTTCCAGTTGCTTATACACTAGTTTCACAAAAGTGGGTTCTAATTTTTCATAAGAACTAGTTTACTTTTATATGGGAATCTAACAATCTAGTATAAGACAGCATAAATAAAACCAATTCATTAGCTTGTTCAGCTAGCTGCTACCACTGTTGCACCACATAACTTGTTGATACAGAATTCCAAAATGTATTGACGACAATGCCTAATTAATGACATCTGCATTTGAGACCACAAAGTGACTAAGAAAAAATAGACCAAACTTAAGTGAACACTGTTGACTATACCAAATTGTCACTAATATTTGACTTCATAATAACTTAACCTCGATAGCCTTTGTTTTGAAGTAACAGAAATATCAGTGCATTCTACTAATATTGTAGTGCAATAATTGAGCTAAAAAACACTCCATGCTGACTTCTAGTTAAGGTTTAAAATTTACGCATAACAAGTGCTATGTCTTTCATATACAACTAAATACTAGATTGGACCAGCAACTATTTTACAAGCAATGCTACAGGTAAATGCAAAATTAACAGTGGTGAGCATTTACCTAAAACAAGAGAACAAGTTTTGTATTACAATTACCAATTCACATGGCGTGCAGGGGCATTGGTTCAATGGTTAAAACTCAACTTGTCAACATTGAGGTTATATTAGGTTTGATCTTGAGGACAGCTACTTTGCAAAATTACGCCAAGAATTAGGTTTATACCCAATCTATCCCTCCTAGACACCATCTAATGGGACTAAACTGGGTGCATGTTTTTATCAGTTAAGTTAACATTGTGTGTTTCACATTTCCAATCAAGACAAATTGTAGTAGCTTCAATAGATGGCGGAAGCTAATCAACAAAAATAGTTCAAAGCGAGCAAACACTAACACAGAGAGACGATCAATATAGCAATATCATTGTCACATGCCAACCAAAAATAAATAAAACAAGAGATGAAATACTTATTACAACCACAAGCACTCATCATAATCCCATTGCTAACACCACATATAAAATTGAAGACAAAACAACAACACGATGCACTAATTATGATGGGACTGTGAGTGTTAACCTAGTGTACGATTACAGAGCAAAATCAAGTTTCAATTCATCATTCATTTTCAATTAGCATTTCTCATTTCTTTCCAACTAATACCCAGGCCAGACCAGATGCCAATCATGTTTGTTAAAGCCAACTAGATTAGATGGGGTTAGCATTCCTAGAAACCCTAAGGCTGTGTTTGGATCATGTCATTGGGTAGTAAATTGGATCATGTAATTGGGTAGTAAATTGGAAAGGAAACCCAAACCCCTATCCAAATCCATAATCCAAACATAGCCTAAGATTATCAATCCATTTCAAATTGCATTTCTTATCAATTTTGTAATTTAGCCAATTAGCCTCAACCTACCCCTCTTATTCAATAGTCCCATACATAGCCCCGCATATCTGACCCCAATTCCGTTATCCAAATGACATGGCCAAAAAAAGGTAGTAGCTTCAGCAAATTTATTCCAACAGATAGATAATAATAATAATAATAATAATAATAATAATAATAATAATAATAATGTCGATGAAAAACCCTATCTAGAGAAAAACTCAATACCTCGAAGAAGAAAATCATTCGGATTCAACCTTAGGACCTGAAAGAAAACAAAACAAAAATATCAATCGAGATACAAAATCATCGAGAGAGAGAGAGAGAGAGGAATACCGTGAAGGGAAGGGGGGCGGTGGTCCTTGCCCCAGCCTATGCCGCGGGTGGAGTCGAGGTACTGCTGAACAAGGTGGCGACACTTCTGGAGATGATTGACGCCTTCGATGCGGTAGCACCATTTGAGCTTCTCGCGGATGATCTTGGCGGTCTCGATGTCGATCCACTTCTCTCTCACCAGGTGCTCCCTCATCTCCAGCATCGCCACAGGGTCCTTGTATGGATTCTCCGGATCGAAGTCGTCCGGCGCTCCTTCATCCAACACTACTCCCTTCTTCCTCCCCATCTCTCTCTCTCTCTCTCTCTCTCTTTCTCTCCCCCCTCGTCTACTTTCGACAAGACGACAGTGAAAAATGGGACGGTAAAGGCTGACTGGGTCGAAGTAATGTTATTAGGCCCAATACGAATGGGTTACAGGCCTAGGATAATGCAAGCCCATAGTTTAGTTGGGCTTTTTTTATTTTTTAGGAAAAAAAATTTCTTTTCTTTTTTTGTGTAAAATTTTTCCTATTTTTATATTTTGGGAGAAGTTTTTGGTTGGTTGACTAATGGAAGTAATTTATTTTATTTTTTTTAACCAAAAATATAAAAGGGAAAAAAGAAAGAGCTTTTCTTAAACAACAATGATTCATCCTCCTTTTCCTCTCACCCCCTTTGACCCCATCTCTCTCTCATTGGTTACATTTTCTTTTTCTTTTTCTTTTTTTTCCTGCTCCTCCAATCACCACCCGCCACGTAGCAAGGGGGTGAGGGGGTGACCCCCAAGAGGGGGTCCCAAACATTATTCTTTCTTAAATTATTATTTGTAATTTTTTATAGTTTATTTTGGATCTAGGGAATTTTTCTTAAATTCTCTAATATTAAAATTTTATAAGATCAAATATATGTAATATATTCATAGCAATTAGGATTTCTCAATATTTTTTAAAAAAAATTTTAAAATACAGAGAAAATTAAAAATATTTTTTCATACTTTGAAATTTATCTGAATTAAAAATTTTCCAATTTATTCACAAATTTCTGTCTCTGATCTACTCACATTTTACTGTCCTCTGTTTCCGTAGTTGACGAGAATCTCCACGTATCTTTTAAATGGCTACAGGCAATCAAGCCAATCCAAAATCATATATACATTTATATATGTATATATATATAGAGAGAGAGAGAGAGAGAGAGAGAACTTGTGTTGAATCTCACCATTTTCAGAGATCTGAGAGCTCAGTTCAGCACAGCAAGAATGACTATGGAAGACGGAGAGACTATTGATCTTCAAATATGGCGATTTTGTACCAGTAATAACATAAAGAATCAACGAAATACTTGTCTCTGTTTTGGTGTTTGAGTTGAAGTAATAGGTTTCGTGTGAGATTTAGAAGAAGGTTTGAAGAAAATGGAACAGAAACTGTTTTTGATGTCTGCCTCTGGTGTTGGTATTGGTTTGGCTTTAGAGAAATTTTGTGGGGGAGGATTTTAGATTTAATATTGTTGATTTTTTTGGCTTTCGAAGGTTATGACTGTAAATTTGAGCATGTCAGTAAGGATCAATCAGTCATTACAGAATATTAATTGCCAACTAATTATCAGACGATTGTATTTTAGTTCTTTCAGCCTCAATGAAGAGGACTTGTTTTGTTTATGAGAATTAAGCAAACAATTATTAAATGAAGAACAATTGTAACATTTCATTAAGTAAAATGGAAGATTTACAAAGATCCGAATTAACCTCGTAGAGGTTTATAGCGGCAAACTACTTGAAACTACTCCTATGAACGAAGTACAGTGCAGAAATTTGAAATACAAGAATATAAAGAATAAGAAATATAAAAACTGGAAGGAACATAAAGTAGATAAAACTGGTTTTTTGGATCTGAGTCTGGGGGCTTATTTCTGGGACCTTCTCTGCTATTTATACTTTTCAATGGTAATCGTCGAAATGAGCTTCTAACTGTCGAATCATCCCTCCATAATTGCTGATCATGTTTCCTCACAGTTAGCTCTACTACGCCATGTCTGCAATTAGGCTTCTCTCATAATATTTGAATTTAAATATGAATAACCGTTAAGGCCATGTCATCTTGCACCTCTTTGCTGATTCCATATATATAGATCCACAATAACCAATATTAACTGCCGCGTATGTGATTATGATTGAAGATTTGAATTGTTTTCCGTATTGCCCTCATCCTGTCACGTGTTGAACTGTGATTGGTTTATACAAAATATGTAGCCAACAAAATATATATATATATATATATATATATATATATATTATGGATCTCTCTCATTATTAAAAATTAGAAAGGAATGTTAAACTAAATATTCCATCATAAAACACGTATGAACTAAAGTGCTCTATTTCTTTTGTCTTAATTATAATTTTTTAGAACATTTACTCGTTTGGGAACATGCTATTTTAGTAATTTTTTGACTTTTTACG